TGAGGGACTTAGAAATCTTCTAATTAAAAATCTTACTAATTCTTAGTATTCAGATACTTATGTTTCACGATTCTAACACAGTCTGGAAAAAACAAAGGAGAATGTGATAAAGCATCTTAGAAGGATTTCTCATAAGGTAAGAGCAAAAGGAAGATCATAGTGCTATAATTGAAATTAGGAAACTGTACTCATTTGTATACTAGAACTTAAAATTATGTGTAAATGATGTTAGGAAAATATTGTAGGCAAAATTATTTTATGAATATTACCCCAGCAGTGGGAGAAAGTCTAATTAGAACATTAGAAGGGAGATGCTTATAACAGTATCTCACAAATTAAATCACCACAATTAGAGGATCAGCCAACAGATTGTCATTTTTGGTGTGTCATATAAGCAAATGCTACCATTTCCACACAACAGCAATAAATGTTTTTCAGAATAATTAAACATACTTTTGCACAGAAGATTAAAGAAGTGTGCATGAACTAGTAACTAAGGAAGAAATATAGAATTTAATGTATTCAGTGATACTTAGTGTTACAGAATGCACAAAAAATAAAAAAAATCAAATAATTTCAACAGTTACAGAAAGACAAAAAATCATTCAATGAATAATAACGATGGGGGAAAAGTTCAATATCTTTATTTAAGCACTCTCCAGTATAAGCACACACCAACCTGAATTTAAAGTAAAATGTTAGAAAATACCACTATTGGGAAGGATGCAATAGCTCAGGAATCTCATGAACTAGCAATGGGTGTTAAAATTGGTGCAAACATGTGGAAAAGCTGGTGGTGTCCACTTACTGGATCAGATACAAACGTCTATGCCAGCAATTCCAATCTGATGAATGCTCATGCAGCCCTCCAGAGATTGCCCTGTGTCCATGTTGGATTTAATGTATGCAAGACTGGCCCAAGTTTTAGTTCTACAAGGGAAGAGTGAGACACTGGAGGTAAGGGAAAGTGAAGTAATGAGAACTGAAAATGGAGAAAATTATATTCCATGCATGCATAATTATGTCAAAATGAGCCCCAGTATTATGCATAACTATAATGCACAAATAAAAATTTAAAAACAAATAAAGGAGGAAAAATTGTTATGAAGAATCAAAACAGATGCTAGGAAACTATGTATTTTAACTTGAAAATGGGTGGGATAAACTCCCCTCTAAACAAAGATTTATTTCCACAAAGAAAGTATTCTTTTGTTGCAACTGCAGGAATAAAAGTATAGTGGAATATATAAATGAATTATTCATAAATATTGCCTTGGTACTGAACAATGGCACATGAAGTACTAATATCTGATAAAATAGTTAAAGATAAAAATGAAGTCTTCACTGATTTCACAGCTACATTGGTCAAAGTTTCAGTAATGAAGCAGGATCTGTGGAGGACATTCAATACATAAGATATATCGGTAGTAGTTGGCACATGTGCATTCTTTTGCATTGAATAAATGGAAATAAAAAGGAAATTGTCATGTGTGTGATTAATATTGAAGTATTATTAAACCAGAGAAATTACCAGATTAATTTGGTCCTGACAACCACTGTCCAATTCTCATCCTTATAACGTTACTTTCCCTTGTGTGTTCAGCAGGGAGAGAAGTTTTGTTCAGCCATCTCAACACAGGGATTTTTCTCCACACGAGGTGGATTGTAATGTACAATTGGAAAAGAGCATCTTTTATTCCAGAAATAGTCCCAGGTCTGGGCTTCTGTACATAAGGAGGTGATCCTCACAGTTCTATCCTTATCTTCACTCTATGCATGAAAGCTTTATACACACAGACATCATAGCACTTCAAAATATATTCTATGATTTTCTAAAGTAATGTGAAGAGCAGATTAGGTGCTACTATAGTCGTTAAGCCCCTTCTAAGTAAGAATTTACTATTGATGCTATTATTCACCTATGAACCTCCTCAGTGTGTATTTTATTAAATAACTTTAGGAGCCATGACGAATTGATATCAGGTCAGGGACACTTCTACTTTTACAACTGAGCTCATAGTGAAGGAATTATTTCTTTTCCTTCTTTATCTTTACCCTGAATCTCTTCCTAACCCGGAATCTGTATTTTCCCTCTGCTGACACAAGCACATGCTCAGAATTGTTTTCCTTACTGACTCTGCAGAAGTAGAAAACTGAAATAGAAACTACTCACTGTGCTTCTTGTGTGCAGGGTGCTGGGCTCAGTGTGAGGTCCTGACAGCCAGCATGGAGGGAGGGAGGGAGCTGGGCCCTGAGATAAAGGTCTGTGCTCCTGTGACCTCACTTCCCCTCAGGGCTGCAATTATCACTTCACCTGGAGAGGCAATGACAGTGCAGGCCTGGGGAGCCCAGGACAAGGCTGAAAAACTTTCTGCACCCTTGCTAATTAATAAGGCAATTATGAGTTCCTTGTTTGTAACTTCAGAATGAGTGTTGAGGAGTTGGTTGCTTTTCCCTGATCCCTGCAGGCTGACAGGGTCTTACATGGAAGATTCAGAAATATCAAGGTGTGACCATGGGGCCAAGTGTTTGTACATCTTMCTGGACTTCAGAATTCCCTGAGTTCTTCTACGTCCAATCTTGTTAATAATATTCAGATATTTGAGAACTCTCTGTTTTTTAAGTGTATTTACTCAATGCTATAAATTTTCCTCCTAGAATCCCTTTCATACTGGCCCAGAGATTGATATATGGTTTCTCTGTTCTCACTTGTTTCTAAGAATTTCTTGATTTTATCCTATCATGCATTCTATGATCCATTCTTTATTTAAAGGAGTATGGTTCAATCTCATGTATCTTCTTTTCATTTTTCTTGTGGTTGATTCCTAGGTTCCCTCTATTAGATCTGATRAGATGCATGAGATTGTATCTTTTTTTATTTTCTAGGACATCCATTGT